TCGCTATTTCCGTTGAATTTGAGATTTATCGAGAACTGAACTAGAAGCTAAGTCACTCTAGTTGGAACGTTTGAGCTCTTTGCAAGTGATTTTATTTTTTTACTAGTGTTCACTTTAATTCTCAATGAGCATTAATATTTTCGACACTTAGTTGAGTCTATTGGGTCTCTGAAAAAGTATAGCAAAACAAAAAAAAACCAAAAATGTTCAGCCGTTTTTTTTCATAGCTATGTTAATAAATTCTCAACAATTTGGTGGATAAAACGAGAGATGGTGTCATTACGATATCATCAATCATTCGATTTGTGCATTTGGACAAACGAATTTACATTTCTTTTTCCCTCCGCAATTATTTGTGACTTGGATTTTTAAGTCTACAATATTAATGCATACATGGACATTCCCAAGCAACACAGTTCTGGAGGGTATCTGCAAGTATACCAAAAAGGCTGTCTAATGTCTGTCCAAAAAGGTAACTTGTGTCTAGAAGTTAACTAAAAGTTATCGTATGACTGCAAGATACCTTTTGGACGGACATTAGTCTGCCTTTTTGGTATACTTTCAGATATCTTTCGCAAGGTTTGCTACTTGGGTTCTGAACGCATCTGGCTTCAATTGAGATTACATTTCCCACGCGTATCGATATACACTATTATCGTACATGTAATCCGATGTTATTCCTATTGAAATTCAATCCGAATATCTAATAGATGAGTTCGTTCAATTTTTGAATTTCCGACTCTCCCCAACATGCGCAGAGACCCAAGTAGCAAACCTTGCGAAAGATATCTGAAAGTATACCAAAAAGGCAGACTAATGTCCGTCCAAAAGGTATCTTGCAGTCATACGATAACTTTTAGTTAACTTCTAGACACAAGTTACCTTTTTGGACAGACATTAGACAGCCTTTTTGGTATACTTGCAGATACCCTCCAGAACTGTGTTGCTTGGGTAGGCGCATGCGAGTCTGATTGGTTGATGCCCGGCTGCTGGCCGTCCATCCAGAACGATCCAGTACGTTGACGTTGAAACAAAAACATAACAGAGTGTTCTTTACGTATTTTGGGGGTACCTAGGAGCCTTTTTAATTATTCTAGTTGATTCAAGTGTTTCTAACAAAGTGTAAAGTGTTCACAATAATAATTTTTGCTAATTTGTGACCAATTTTTGGTAGGAATTCATCCAACTATCGCCTCTGCCTCTCGTCACTGAAAAGGTAAGTGTGTCCACGTATGAAAAAATCGTATAGAAATTTTCTATCCGGATTGCGTATAGAATTTCTATAGAATTTTCGTATATGATATTCGGATATTTCTATACGGATATTTTTCATACAAATTATTTCTATACGATTTCTATAGATTCTTATACACAATCCGTATAGAAAGTTCCTATACGATTTTTTCATACGTGTCACTGCTCTCTTTACTGCTTTAAAGCAATTTTAAAAACAAAAAATAAATGAAGAAAGTTCATCAGCTGAACTAAGAGAAGTTATAATTTTAGTCATAAACATTGAATGAATCATTTGTCAACTATTTCTTTTTAAACTCTTCTCTCTCTGATATGATGCGTTTGACCATATTACCACGGAGAATGACTTGTTTACATTTTTTCACGCTCTATTTTCCCGCCCCGTTGACTCACAACGGAATAGTTATGTTGTAGATCAATAATCCTGAGTTTATCGGAATGATTCAAGGGGTTTTGAAAGAATATAGGATAATTTTTAACTATTAATTAGTTCGATTTCCATTTGATAAACCTCAGGCATAAAAAATTCAACCGATTCACGTTTCTGCAAGATTTTATTTTCAATCAGGTTGGAGAATCAGAGGACATTCGATGAAAATAAAAATCATGGCGATGGACAATTGTCGTAATAACAACGTTTTGTTCCTATATTCTCGAATTGGTTCGTCGTTAACAGTATTTTCTCGGGTTGCGGACAAACCGTTCAATTCAACACACTCTTCAATTACGATTTCGATGGTTCAAGCACGCCACTACAGCCTTAATTACTATTTTATGCATACCCACAGTCGAGTGTCAGTCATTGTATCATGTTGTCTGTCTATTATATTCTACGATAATTATGTATGAAAACTCATTATTTCCGCGACTTTCTTATTTGTTTGCAGAGTATATCGGTAAGAGTCAATGAATTCGAGGAAACGTAGGAAGTTTCCATCGAGTTAGAACAAATATGCACGTAAGATCCCACGAAGACGAAAACCCTGGGTTGAACTAAGCGAACGACAGCGAAAAAACATTGAAGGAAAACACCGAATAGAGATGGAAACATCAATATTCCAAACTTTTGAAGGGACTGACTCCCACCCCCAGCATATCTCCACCCCGGATATCGCAGTTTATTCCGACGAGTCTCTCACCTCTGATTCCCTCCCAATCCCCCCGTCTTTGCCACCAATGAAGTCCATATGCCTCTTCACGAATCTCTTCATACGCCTCCACGGGAAAATACTGATCCGCTCGCCACTCCAAGTCATTCTCTCATCTTCACAGTGTCCTCACCTCCACAGCCCAAAATCGATGAACCTACAAGGTTCAAGAATGGATTAAGCCAGATATATCTCCAGCATGATATCAACCATGTACAAGGAGATGCTGTCCTCCGTCTTCTTCGAACACATCCTTGTTTCCAATCATTACCCAGAACTACAAAAACCCTTCTTAAAACCCCCCGGACTTCTGTCGGATTAAAAGTAGTCCACCCAGGAGAATATTTGCATTTGGGTTTTACTGAGGCATTGTTGGCAATATTAACCCTTGTTGATCCTAACATTATCCCGAATCATTTATTCGTTGACTTCAGTATTGATGGAGGGACACTCGATAAATCGGCAAAGGGAACAATTTGGCCAATCCAAATAAATATTGCTAATATTCCCGATTGTAAACCGGAAATTGTTGGAATATATCAAGGGGAAGAAAAGCCAGCCGATTTTTGTGACTTCTTCCAATATTTTTTTAACGATGTCGATGCAGTTTCAGCAGCTGGGGGAATTGTCGATTTATAATAATAGACGCCTTAAAGTTTCACTCAGATTATTCATTGTTAATGCTCCAGCCCGAGCATGTGGTTTGAATCATGTGGGGCATATGGCAAAAGTGCCCTGCTCGACGTGTAAAATCGTGGGATGTGCCTGTTCTGACAATCCGAAGAAGAAAAAACGGTTAACCTATCTTGGAATAAACCGGCCTCAACGGACAGATGAAGAGTATGCTCTGGCTTTGGATGGGTCACATCATAATGAAGGCGAATGTTGTTTAAAGAATCGAATTCCTCTGGTTACAAATGTTCCCTTTGACATTCAGCAGTTAACATTTCTTGGGGCTGTAAACAAATTCTTGAGTGCGATTATTGATGGAAAGTTCAAACGCTCTGTGCAATTGTCTCGTGAAAACTACCAAAGAGCAGACAACCGCCTTCGAGTGATCTCGCACTATTATCCAAGCGATTTTTCGAGGTGTCCCGAAAGTTTTCGCCGCTACACGAAATTCAAGGCTACTGAAAATAGGCAGATACTTCTCTATATCGGCATTGTTATATTCTCCGGAATCATTGATGAAGAAACCTATGATCATTTTTTACTGTTTCATGCGGCCATGCGAGTCTTTGTTCATAGACATTCCACTCCTCAACAGGTTCAATTTGCGAAAATGGCAATGCCTCTTTATGTGGAACACTGTCCCAAGATTTTTGGATGTAATTATTGTTCATATAATATTCACGGCTACTTGCATACGATTGAAGACTATGAAAATTTTGGCCCACTCGACGCGATATCAACGTTCACTTTCGAGAATAACATGACCATTTTCAGAAAATACTGCCGAAAAAAGAATCAAAGTTTGCGACACATCAATAACAGGCGAGCAGAATTAATCCGTAAAAAATCCTCTCATCGTACTATTCATTCTCCTATTACAGCATCTCAGCCACATATGTTGGGACCTATATGGAATTCACCATTGATCAGTTATACTCAATACAAAAAAGTATGTTATCAAAAATTGACATTCCGACTAAATGATCGTGATAACACATGTATAACACAAGATGGTTGCATTTGCATTATCAGGAATATCCTTTTTAGAAATGATTGTCACTATTTGTTAGTTCAAAAATTCATTGTAGCTGAACCATTCTATAATATGGGTTTACCATTCACTGAGTTTGGTATTTATATTTGCTCAAATATGCAGGATGATTTATCTCTTATCTTATTGACCGACGTAAAAATGAAATGTTTCCGAATGCCGCTATGGCCACGTACACAGCCAACTAATATCAATTTACCTGAATCGCCTCTTCCGGGTTGTTTCATTGTGGCGGTATTATTGCATAAAAATCAAATGGTTCCAGATCCGGATACGGTGTGGTAAATACCTTGTCAATGTCAATTTAGCTGAATCAATTCTTCAGATTAATTTCATCATGACGGTAATCTTAAATAAGTTGGAGAATGGTTGAATGCAAAATTATCTCCGTAAATTTCATATTTTGCATCATAATTCAGCGTTATTCTCTTCTTTTCAGATGAACAAGCGTAAAAATGCCGAAACCGAGAGTCAAAGGGAGAGAAAAAAGGAAAAAGATGATTCTATGGAGGACTTTTTGTCATCAGGTGTAACGAGTCTTGGTACTCGTATAAACAACATTCGCACTTATTTGAGAGGCCAAAAACAACCATCCCAGAGTCAACAGAATTCTCGTCAGCCCCCTTTCGGCAAAGAAAATGATAATCCTAACGACAATATACCGAGAATCTCCAGTTCTTCAAAATCCATTTCGTCTCCACCAATATCGCCTCTCAGTTACAATGGACCCTTTGGATCCAATGATCAAGACATCGAGGTCATAAAAGCTCAAAAAAAGAAGAGAAAAGAGAACAATTAAGAAAATTACATGAACATGAAAAAAAATGAGGAGGGATCAAAGGATCATGGAGTCCACTACTCATGCAGGTGTGAGTGATGAGGATCGTGATCTCGTGCGAAGATTCAGGGACCGGCGAAGGCTAGCTTTACGAAACTTCAAATTGTAGCAGGATATGGAGAACATTAGAGGGATTGATTCAGCGGATACCACCAACACTGATGAGGACGCTGCTATGGCAGGAGCGAGAGACATACAAAAGAAGATGAAGAAAGATGGGAGAAAAAAACAGAGAAAAAATCAGATTGAAATGATGGCGGATGAAAAAACACAGGACAATGAGAAAGAAAAACGACAACTGCAAAGAGCTCCAAGCATACAATCTCCAGGAAGAAGCGAGGCGAGCACGAGACCTGGAGGAGCAACGACATCGACAGGAGGAATCGAGACGAGTACGTTAACTGGAAGAGCAACTGCAACGAGAGGAGGAAGCTAAACGAGCACGTGAACTGGAGGAGCAACGATATCAAGAGGAGGAAGCGAGGGGAATAAGATCGAGAGCGCATGTCGGAGGAGGAAGTAGTAGGGTATCTGAAGCTAGCACTCGAAGTTCTTCCAGCAACGTATCTGATATCACCGATTCTAGTGAAGCTGGCAATGGTAATGCGGCCTTGAAACATCTTTTGATACAACATAATTACCAAATGAAAGAAGGAATGAGGTAATCGCTCATATGACTGTATAACTAATCCCTTCCATAGTGATCATTGCTTATAATATCTCACAAACTGTTATTGCATACTTCTTTCAATTTTAATTCATCAGGAAGTGAATTACAATTGAAAGATATTATGATTTCTTCCAGGTTGATAAGCTGTGAATACTGACTTGTAATATGCCAAAAGCTTCAAATGATCACAGACTTTCCAATAGCTTAATTGCAAATAAATGACAATAGTAACATTTCCAGAATGAAAAATCCCGAACACCTGTGCGAAGGATTCTTTTCAAAACCTGGACATAATCATTTGGTTGCAGGGATTATAAATCATGTGATCATAAACCAAACTCATTTGATTATTTCTTACAGCTATCGGTCCTTACTGGATATTATTTTCTTGCAGGAAATTATATAGTAAAATATCATCTGTGGAAAATAAAGTATCTTCTCTGCAGAACAAAATCTCAGATCTACAGAATATATTGAAAACCCGTGATGGAAATATCGAAGGGATGCCCCTTGTACGGCCTGAGTGTTTACCAATTCGATCAGAGGCAGAGTAGAATATTTTTGAGGATGAGACCAGTGAGGCAACCTACATGAATGTAGTAAGTTTACTCAACAATATACTGATGAATGATTCCGTAGTATCATTGGGGTCAATTGGGATCGGTCAATTTTTTTATTTCTATTGTTCATTGATTTGCTAGTGACAAAAAAGTAATTTCGAGGTAGTATTTTCAAAAATCTCTTTTATAGATTGATAAATTCCGTACGAAACATTTTCTCAACTTGTTTTTCAAATTGCTCAGAATTTCCAGTAATGTTCATGCTATTATTTATTTAGCAAACTGTAGAGAATTCACCTTTTAGGTTTCTTCGCTTAAATACTGAATCATGTATTTTTTGTGTTAGGTGAAATACTTCGTTGGACTCGGTGGAAGCACTCTTCGTGATGCAATTGGTTGGTGTATCAAAAGAAGTTTCGAGGGAGAATTCATTCGTGAGGTGACTTGGACGGGGTCAGGACAAACAGATAAATTTCGCTTGGAAGGAACAAATTTTACTAAATGTTTGAGAGGTAAAATTTTGAACGATAAATGAGGGCTAACAGTTGATAGTTGTCAGTTGATCCAATGCTTGAAGAACAATAAGCCGGAAATTCCACTTTCCTTGAATTTATCGAGTTGAAACGTAGAACAAAATACAGAGAGAATCATCGTGAAACATCATCGTGTCCCAGAATGGGAAATTTGGTTGCGAAATATAACAATTTTTCGTGGTGGCTCCGGTAGCGCACTTTTTTCGTAGCGTCAGAATGAATCCATTTGACTGTGCTAGCACGTTATCTTACGTTTCTTTTTATTACTGTTGTACGATGTTATGATTTGAAATGTTAGAATTGTACTGGTAATAAGTTTAGTATTTCGTTCTGTCGTCTCATTATTCTGTTTTGATAGAATACCGTGATTTTGAGCGTTGAAATGCCTTTAATTGAATCACCAGATGACTTTCTCATTTTCTTCAGATTTTGCTATTTCTATAGTGGTATTTACACGATGCGGATTCGGAAAATCTTTTTTATTTTTTATTATAATCGAAAAAACTTGAAACTAATTTTTATATTTTTCATTTGAATTACTACTCGAAAAGGAATGTCCCCCACTACTAGTTCCAAACTTTCTGGAGGAACAAATCCGGTAAAAATCTATTTTAAAATCAGACGGGAAAAAGTTTTTATGAAAAATCAATGTTCTAGTTTTTTTTTTGCACTGGCGATAATTGATAAATTATGCTAATCCTTCCGAGTGTTTGCAATTTCTCCATGATCAACTATTCAACTAGCCTACATCATTTCCAGACTTCATTATTCATAATTAATATTCATTGATTTATCATTTATTCGGTGTAAAAATCTAAAAATGATACTTTTTTGAAAACCAATAGCATTGCATCGTTACATTTTACATATCCACGCTGACGTCAATTTCGATTTAGTATGCAACGAAAATATTAAAGGGAAACTACTAAATTTAATAAGAGAATAGTATAGACCATTACTTCCTCAATTACAGATTTCCAATTAACTCTTCCATTGATTCATTCACTATTTTCTTTCTTAAATTTTGAAACTCATGCATTACATCCATGTTTCGATGGAGAGAATTTATCTGAATGTAGATTCCACGTAATTGAATTACGAGGAATTAAGAGATCAATCGAGATATTCCTCGATTGTTAGAACGTTAACTTATTGTTAATACCATTTCTTTCCGCCTAACAGGAGCTATGCGCCGAAGTCAGAGAAAAGGACAAATTCCAGATTTCACAGAACAAATGTTCTATGAGAACATAATGGCCGCTCTCAAATCTGAAAAACAAATACTGAGGAACCGTGCTCGCCAGCATCCTCAGGAAGGACAGAATGATGACGGTAGACAGCAAATTCCATCTAAACGCGGTAGACTTTCCAAAGCCCAAAGAGCAGCTGTCGATCAAGGAGCTTGGAATTATGATATTTAAACATCGTACAACAGCTATTATTTTCGCACTTCCCACTTCTTTGTATTCGTACTTATGTATACCCAGAAAACAACTTTTGCCAGTGGCATCTAAAATTTAACAGGGCATCGGCAATTTATCGAAATTTGTCGACATACTGTTTGCTGGGTATATATTTTCCAGATATCTTTTTTTTTTAATGTGAGTTGTCATTATTTCTATAATAAAAAGATTGATTGCTTCAATTATCGATTAATAATTTCCGCTTCCACATCTGCTTTTCAAACACTACGAACATAGAAGAGGGGAGGGGGGCAAAATATGAAGCTTTTTGAGATCTTCTCGAAATCCTCATATCTTCGTTTACAAATGAAGATATTGGGATTTGGAGAAGATCACAGAACGTTTCATTTTGCCCCGTTCTCCTTATGACCAATATCAATCGAAATTGCCGGCAATGCAGTGACAACCCAAGTAGCAAACCTTGCGAAAGATATCTGAAAGTATACTAAAAAGGCAAACTAATGTCCGTCCAAAAGGTATCTTGCAGTCATACGATAACTTTTAGTTAACTTCTAGGTAACTTCTAGACACAAGTTACCTTTTTGGACAGACATTAGACAGCCTTTTTGGTATACTTGCAGATACCCTCCAGAACTGTGCTGCTTGGGAAGCGTTGCCGTCAAATTGCTCGTATCTTGGCGGCCGATGAGCATACACCAAAACTTGTCGTCATTTAGGTGTCAGATTGGGTAAGTAAGGTTATATGCAATCCCAAGCAATACAGTTCTGGAGGGTATCTGCAAGTATACTAAAAAGGCTGTCTAATGTCTGTCCAAAAAGGTAACTTGTGTCTAGAAGTTACCTAGAAGTTAACTAAAAGTTATCGTATGACTGCAAGATACCTTTTGGACGGACATTAGTCTGCCTTTTTGGTATACTTTCAGACATCTTTCGCAAGGTTTGCTACTTTGGATTGTCGGCAACGATTGCCCTTCGTTGGCATCATCTTGCCATCCAATTGGCAGCAAATGTCTATCTGGGAAGTAGAAACAAAACCCGCCTCCCAAGTAGCAAACCTTGCGAAAGATATCTGAAAGTATACTAAAAAGGCAAACTAATGTCCGTCCAAAAGGTATCTTGCAGTCATACGATAAATTTTAGTTAACTTCTAGGTAACTTCTAGACACAAGTTACCTTTTTGGACAGACATTAGACAGCCTTTTTGGTATACTTGCAGATACCCTCCAGAACTGTGCTGCTTGGGTTGTTGTGTAAGAACTCTCCGTGGTCAGACCCAAGCAGCACAGTGCTGGAGGGTATCTGCAAGTATACCAAAAAGGCTGTCTAATGTCTGTCCAAAAAGGTAACTTGTGTCTAGAAGTTACCTAGAAGTTAACTAAAAGTTATCGTATGACTGCAAGATACCTTTTGGACGGACATTAGTCAGCCTTTTTGGTATACTTTCAGATATCTTTCGCAAGGTTTGCTACTTGGGGATGAAATGTGGCCAGTTGCTAGGGGGGGGCGTGGTTTGTACTTTTACAACTCTACAGACGACACCATCGAGACAAAGTTACCATCTAGTGAGAAACCTCGCGGAACGAGTCTACAAAACACAACTGTACAGGAAAACGAGTCTACAGAGAACAACGCCGGATTTTCATGTTCGGGTCGTCAATCGACGTCGGCAGGGTAGAGATTTTAGACGGCATTCACTTATCGACCGTAATTTTAGAGAAATTTTTCCACCGAGTGATGACGCCTCGAGAAATATCTTCCACGACTTCAAACGACATAATTCTCTCCTATTTTCAACTAGAGTGAGACTTTTTAGAGAATTATTTATGAATTAATTATGAATGACTAATCCGTGGTGAATCATTTTCATACTTTGAATCAGATTGGAATTTCTAAGTCATGTGAAGTTCAACTAATTTCACCCCGCCATCTCCATATTATTAATTATTAATAACAATAGAATTAAGCAACGGTCAATGAGGGATGTTTTTTATTTAATATAATCTATAAACTTTCTCAATATTTAGTTGCATCACATTTTCAGCTGATATCGGTCGAAGTCACCAATGTATTGTCAACTAATGAAGAAAATCAACAGAAGAGGAAATTTATTTTATTCATATATGTATTTTTATTATGCAATAACGATTATTTTTCCTCATGTGAGTACGAAATTATAGGAATCTAGGATTTTGATAATTGATGTGCTGTCGAATTGTAAATCGAAAGAACTTTAGAAAAAAAAAATCATCACACTTGTTTATTGTATTATTATTATTTTACATAAAATAGATATCAAAACTATGAATGCTTGATTTATCATCAGAATTTCCACTGTTTTATATTTACATATATTTTTTCCTTAGCTTCTTGCTCTCGCTTTGATTTATCAATTTTGTATTTTTTTTTTAATTATGTGATTTTGTGAAGAATCGTTCAATGTATCATGAAACGGATACCTACCTGCTTTCCTTCGAGTCTAACGAACATTTTGGAGGAGAAATAAATGTCAATCGGCTAAAAATTGAGGCACTTGGACGATTTGAAATGTAGAAACAAAAAAAAAAGTTTTCGATGACAAATGGGGTGAAATGGATTGTATTCATCATTTTTTTCCACTTTTTAACATGTCCCATCATACATTAAAAATTACTTAATTGGTTCGTAACTCTAATATAGACAGATTTCGCCGCGGGCTCTCTTTAACTATATGCAACAGAGAAATGAGAATTAGATTCATCGATGACCACAGTGTTTTATTGATTTTAAATTTCCAATTCGAATGTGACTGATGCCTATCTCCACCTGTATTTTTATAATCTTGAAACTTATTGTAATTCAATCATCGGTAAATCCGTTNTAAAAAAAAAATACCGTATGGATGATAATGATATTTTGATTTCTCATGACTCATTCAGTCAATAAAAAAATTCACATCGATCAGTGGTGAAATCGGTAATTGAAAATAAATTGGGTTCCAGTGTTGATGGAAAAATTAATCAGAATTTTATTTTTCTCATTGACAATGAATATGGTGATGGAAGGAGTTTCTTCCTCATATTTGATTGTGAAAGTCATAACAATATTTATTATTGATAGTTAATTAATTTCCGATTGATTTATGGCTTCCGTAAGGGCTTTGTTATCTACGTCCCTAACAAATATATTTAAAAACTGGAAATACGGAGTTTGTCTGCATGGAGGAATTTTCTTCTGTATTATAATTTTTACAATATCGGGCAATTCGGGCAATTCTGGACCAAAATTTCAAAATAGATCTTAATTATGCTTTGAATTCATTCGACAGCTCGTGAATTTCGAATTAGAACTCAATAGCATGTATTTTTGCTAGTCATAGACTCAGATCGACTATATAATAATAAACTAATATAAATAAAATTCCTTATCAATTAAATAATCATTCAATCAATTGGAAATTTTAGGGGGTGACTTGTTTGATTGAAATATTCTTTATAATATAATAAATCTGCGGCTAGTATTTTGTTCGCGATTCACGGCTCAATTGACTGGAAGGATTGCAATGACATTTTGCAATCCTTATGCTCGGTCGGCTATAGGCTATAATTTATTGCACTGTGTTGCATATAGTTCAAAATTCGAGGATCAAGGAAACTTTCAGAAATTTTTGTAGACCATTGTCCGATTTTCTAGAAAATTTTGGAAAAATCTCTCGTAAAAAAAAGGTATTATCCAAAAAAAACACGAACAAACCTTTGAGATTTAGAAATGAAAAAAGGGTACATTTTCCAATGGTAATGAATATTTTGTTAATCTTTATTGAACAATGGATACCAAAGTAAGGCAATGAAGAACATACATTAAGTGAGAAAGGATATAAATAATAAAATATAATTCATAGTTTGACAATGAACCATTGCAATGGATAGGAGGATATTTATGAATGATGAAGAGAGATAATTTTGAGTCGTTCTGATTTATCTTCCCAATTCAGGCAGTATTCCAAATCAGGAGAATCGGGGGTCAAATTGAGTTGCCTCTCATCGAAGGATTCCTTAATCATCCAATCTGCTGCGATGACCGTCTCAACTGTGATCCTGGTTCCAACTAGCTCCAATGAACTCAGTTGGTTTGGTCGTCTTAATAATCCGATAATTCCTTTATCACAAACGGGACATCTGTCAATGTTCAACTTTTTCAGCCTGCTCAAGGAATCCAGGTATACTCCAGTAATATTGGGCATGTCACCAATGCTTAATGACTTCAGCTCCGGCAACTGAGATAACATGTGAATGCATTGATCGGTCGTAATAATCGAATCTGGAACATATACATCAATATTGCATGATAAAAAACGAACATAAAGCCCCAAACCATTTACCCGAATGAACATCTGAATATCCATCATGAAAATTCCGATTCATAGTAACTCTAATCCATCGGTAAATGTGAAATACGCATTTTTTGAATTCTGTGTTCGTTGACAGACTTACACAAAATGCAGAACATGAATTTTCGGCCCCAAAAAAGAGTAGATAAATATATTACATTTTAAATTTAGAATTTTCTTAGGCAGGACAATCTATTCAGCACGAAATTATGCCGAATCAGAGGAACAGATCATTTTATTTATGAATTGCTGCTTTTGTTATATTCTCCACGCTGATGAAATGTTTCAGTTTCCTTACCACACAACTCAATTTTCCTCAACTGCTGGCAATGCTGCACGATACGATAGATGAAATTCTCATTGAGCCAGTATCTTCCGTTCATTGAGTCTCCAGAGTCAATACTCAAATATTGGAGTTGCGATAGTCGAGAGATTTGGGAGATTCCCAATGCAGTGATTTCACAGAATGTGCTCTGTATCTTTAATTTTCTCAAATCAATCTTGTTACCAATTGCAAAAATCAAGTCGTCATCAGCGTAATTGGTCTCAAATGATTCCAGAGCTTCAGCTTTTTCAATCACCAGTCGCATCAAAATCAGCAAATGCTCTGACGGACAGCCATCGGTAGCTTTGATGATGACCAGGTCTTTAAGGCATGTCAGTGCTGGAAGGCCCTTCATAAAACAATACAACTCCGTGTTGTATATGCTAACAGATAATCTCTCCAGCTTTGGGTTGACCTTCAATAAGTGATTCAATTTCTTGTCTTGACCCTTGGTGGAAATTGGGATGGTTAGCTATTTCAGTCGATGGCAGGAGATTACTGCAGCAAATACTGCCGATTCAAAATCATTTCGTTGATCTGTAAGAACCGTGAGGTACTTTCCACATTTGAAAATTACTCGATTTACAAGTCTTGAAGTATATCTCGTCGTTTTATAAATATCGAGTGAGAGTCCTCGCCCCGTGCTGCGAGAGCTGTAAACGTCATCATCGATGTTGTAAACTGCGTCGATCGAGACGTCGTGAATTTGGTGGCAGTAATTGTCCACGATTTTTCGCCAGGCTTTGCACACTGAAACGCAATGAATTAATGGATAAATACTCTGTTAAGAAAAAAAATTACATTTCATGGACTGTTGACTGGGAATTTTTAGGATAGTGACACTGAATGCGACTTAGGGAGGGGGAGGGGGGGGGAAGGGAATCCAAAAATTTTAGATTTCAAAGGAAACTCAATCAAATTTAGTATTTTTGACAACTATGAAGACGAGGAGGGTTCCTCAATTTATTTGGATTTTCAAAGAAGCGCCAGATGACTTTCAATTTTTAAACCATTGAACATTCAAAAATATATGTATCAACATTAATTTGAGTTTTTCTAATTAAGAGGAAATAAATGAATTTAATCTTTCGTTCTCAGTTATTTTTGCACGAATCTTTAGTAATCCAGTAGGAATGTCATACAAATTTTTTCATGATCTGCACTATTTCTGTTTTATAAATCATTTTGCACAACGTATTCAAGCCAATATTGCAAGCAATCATATTGTTTAGATATTCACTATTGTTGAATTGTCACAATTCGGAAACGAATAAATTAATTGAGCCCTGTCTAGATTCATCATAAGTAGCAATACTTTTCACGGAAACGAAAATAATCCTAATCGGGCTAGTTTTTGGTGCTAGCTAATGTTTAACATGAGCGTTTCACTTCACCCTACCCTCTACTATCTCATCTAAATTTCAACCAGTCACCAACATTAAAAAGAAATGCGGGGAACGTGTGAAAAATTGCACTAAAATACACATATTTTTGATTAGGTGAGTTTCAGGGAGCGATTCTATTCAAAAGGGAAAGATAAGTGATGGAATACGCACCTCCTCTTGATTTAATTATATCCTTCAATGATAGAAACCGTAGAACGACTTCCAACCAGATGCCCGGTTTATCACACATTGCAATAGAACTTGATTTATGGATTACTGTTGATGAAATATATCCGAAACGTTATAAAAATTTTAATATTGCAGGAGAACTACTAGTCAGACTATATATTGAGGTGAGATGTAAATTGGACAGCGCACGAACAGATATTGATTGAATTGACGGGGGGATCAAGTCCTCACTCCAAGAGAATGATCTTCGGTTTTCGTCCGAAGTCTCCCCACTCCCATGTTAAAAGATACGCATGGACAGGTAGTGGGGGTAAACCCGAAGACTGTTCTCTTGAAGCGAGAAATTTACTGTACATGCGCGAAAGTAGAAAAACTCAACCAATGGGCGGACGATTGTATAGAAAGAGGCGGTGAAACCGAGTGGATGCTCCAATACTCTGTCTCCTCTTGGCGCAGGACAAAGACGGGCCAAAACCAGAAATTCCGTCACCGTCTTTCTAAAATCGCGAAACCCACAATTGGATTTGTTAATGTAAGAAAATTGATCCGAATCGCATAATTGTTATTCGTACTTTCTACTGACACAAGAACGGTCGATTCGACAATCGTCGTTCAGAGATTGAGAAGGGAACTTGCTTCTATTTTTCATTTCAAATTACTCTTGCATTTAATCTTTTTTACTCTAAAGCATTGGACAAATTTTCTGTTTAAAATTTCTAAGCCTTCAGAATTCCGGAATTATTATATTTATTTTCACAGTCTTAATGAATTAATGAAGTCAGTAATTTTGTTAATTTCATCTTTCCATTGAACAGCTAGTAGACTCATAATGATCAATCGAGTAAAACAATACTGTTGAAATACAAACATTATTCATGCGAGTGAATTGTTATCCACTATAAATTGTGACACTATATAAGAATACATTCTTTCGGATTGTATATGAATAACATTTGTTTACCTCATCTATTACAGTTATAAGTCTACGAAATATCTGAAGGTTAACATATTTTGCTGATTTGATTATGAATTTTTGGGCCTGAAAAGTACGAGCAGTGATAACCGGACCTAATCGAAGATTCAATTCAATTTATATTAAAATACGCCTGAATTCTATAGAGTTCCCCTGACGCTGATTAAATCAATAATCTATCCACTGGACTAGATGAGAATTAACTTTACAAATAAAATTATCGCTTCTGCCACTAGTCTGTTTTCATGTATTTTCATTTATTTTTCGTATTCGAAACGTTTTGTATTTTTCATCACGCTGTGCGAAAAAGTAACTTTTTAGGCACGCATCGCGGGCCTAAAACGTCCCTTTTCCACACATTGTGATGAAAAATATTGTTCGATACTCGTGGGAAAAGTGTTTTTTGGCTCGTGGGGGGTTTATAGCACGAGCCGAAGGCGAGTGCGAAAAAACATTTTTCCGCACTCGTAACGAAATATACTAATATACCACAGTTATGAATATATAAACTTGTTGTGTTTCACATAATGCTCAATATCATGGGACAGTGTATTTGACGCTTCGGCGAATTTGAGCTCATCTTGAACATTCCAGTCACTCGGCCAAGTTCCTCCCATTTATTTAGCAGTCGTTTTACGCTGGTATTTCCTCCTAGCTGTAAATTAAAAAATTGGTCATTTCCATATCGTTTCATTTTCATTTAAGAGACAGTTCTTATCTAATTTTCTGATATTTGCTTGATAGAAATAAAAACGCTTTGCATCCATATTCCTCCTCCTCCTCCTCCTCGACAGAAGATTTTACAGCAGTCCTCTTCTTTGACTTCTTCATGAAGGTTGTCTCTGCAAAAATTAATTATTATTAACGTGCTTCGGAACGTATTAAAAAGTTCAACTTACTTGTCACATTTCCCTGCGATAATTTCAATCTTTCCTCATCAATTATTTTCGATAACTGTGGAGGTAGAAGCTGCTTCATGAAATTATATACACCTTGTGGACTGGGCCTAGGGAACAAATAGTGTACATACATCTGACTTCATCATTGTTTATGCAAATAAAAAAAAATTAATGCTCAATTTTAAGGGTTGTTCCAACTTTTTGATCTAGATATTACATTAACCCAATGAAGTGATGATCTACACTGAACAGTGATGAATTATTCAAACATGTTAGGTATTTCATTCCCTCGATGCGAAAGGTCAAAATACCCTCAAGGGGGAATTGGAAAATAATGCGTAGAGGTTGATTCATAATTTTTTTTTATGATAAATGTCAATCAATATGATTATAGGCATTGCCTTTACCTGGTTGACGAGAGACTCTGCTGGGCTTTGATGATATTCATATTTTTATTGAACATTTCCTCCAGGTTTTTTACTTTAACGACAGGGATATTTCCTTCTAAATGTTGCAGATTAATCACCTCATTTTGAATCACATCTTGCAGATTTCCTGAAATTTTCAATACCATTTTTGTGGAACACCTACCTAAGATTTGCCGGGTTTAGATGATTTTTTCATTCATAGCTCTTTTCATTCAAATTCGTTGTAAGTTCATGCAGTAATTTTCAATCGGCTATCGCTGAAGATCCTTCAGTCAACATTTTTTTCCATTTTTTGTGAATCGGACATTAAATACTCACGAATAAATGCATAAACTCGTGGGTGCCGATCACCAGCTCTAGCAGTGAAGTGGCGATTGAATGCTTCTGAATCATTGTTGGTTCTAATGCACGAACCAAACACTGACACCACTTCTGGTTTTCCTCCCCATTCGTTTTGGATATAATTAGACCATACGTTGAGCTTCGGGAAAATTCCATTGTATAAAGCACATACGTCTTTCACAATTTGAACTCCAAGAGGTATGAGATGGGGTGGTAATAGTGCCAGGGAATGTGCTATGAGTTTTGGTTCAGATGGAGCATTTTGGAGACTTAGCTTTTTCCAGTCACCTGACATGGCCTATAATAGAAGAATAACATGCAGCAATTCCTTTCATACAACGGCATCGTTATGTATATGGTCATCAACAAAAAAATTTATTATTTGATTTCTGGAAGAGATTTTCAAGAGATATTTCAAAAAAATATGAGCCGAAAGCGATAGAGCCAAAATAGAATGCAATTAACCCTAGATTGGTCAACGCATGAGGGAAATACCACAGTGCGTTGTTTTTCGTGAATTGCCATCGATTGGCTGACTGTAAAATTTCTAAAAAATTGGACTTTTCCCATTAAAGTGTCTATAAAATTATACTAATTTAAGAACAATGTAATTCCCAAAATTCATGAAGAAAAAAATTATTTCCAAGAGAGGAATGATTTTTTCCCACATTAAACGTGAGTGCCCGTTACGCGACGTTGCCAGAAACTCGCTAAACGCGTCCGGGCAGTATACAGTGAATTTGGCAACGTCCTGGCCTAAATAACACGGGGGCGTTTCCCCGCGGACCTGACCAAGTCGTTGGTTCGCGGAGGATGACCAGACTAGGGTTAAGCCTTCCATTATTCTTTGAAAATTTTTGTTATGTCAATGACATGTAACAGAAAAATTTATAGTTGCCACTAGAAAACTAAGAATTTGAAAATCTTGTGGTTTTAGTAGTCACCAAAAATTTAGTGGGTGAAAAATCAGGGAAACATGGAAAACTTAAGTTTTTGAAAGATAATTCACCTAAAAAAAAAGGGAAATATTGATTGGGTTCCAATTAACCTAGATTTCAGTTATTTAATGAAAAAATGTGTGCTTATTCAGGGAAAGACAAATCGTTCTACTTTGCCCCTCTCCCCTAGGAATGTTGTTGATAATTAATTTAATATTTGAATGTTCTTGGAATTAATCTTCTGACGTTTAATTTATTGAGATTTTTTTCTACATTTTAATCTTTTGCCTGACCGCGAAAACATTTTGTTATAAGACTATATGTTATTTTACGATTCATGAATTAATTATTATCAATAATACTGAACTGTCAATTGAACACGAACTCAATTAAATCGTTTTCATTCATATGTATCACCTTCCATTTCAAATTTATTTTAGATTTCCATATTCAAAATTTTAGTCATGTTTATACTATTTCAACTTAAAAAAAAGCCCGAGAGCCAAAAGGCGAGAAGGGACTTTCGACTCAGGATTTCACACTTTCTCAATCTTGGAGAGATTGGACGAAATTTCTGGGGCCCCATGCTGAAAAAAAAAGTTTATTTCACTTACTTTGATGAAATGAAACCAGCAACCTTGTATCCTGGCTCGAGGGAAAACCAATCGGAAAGCTTTGAGGGCCGCCTTTTCAAAGTCAGATATGATCAACTCCACATCCTTGAGCCCTGGTGCCAATTGCAAAAGTCGTAACAAGATTGCTTGGTAAAGGATAGCTTTGGCTCCTCGATAATAGCCAAATCCTACAGCGATAGACTACGGGGATGAAAAAGAAAAATTATTGAAACGAAACTTTTCATTATAGAAATAGCACAAAAAAAAGAATCCAAGATAAATGACCAAAAAAATTATTTTTCAGTATTGTACGATAAAAAAATTAATTTGGAATCGAATTATTTCTATTACAATATGACCAATGGATTCCGATATTGCTCGCCTCTTATTCAATTTTAATAAACATTTTCTCAGCTTTCCCTCGGGAATTTTCATAGGAATTTTACTATTTGTAGTTTTTGATAATTCATAAAAGAAGGGGATTGGTCGATAAGTTATTGGTCTAACCCATGACGGTTCACACCCACGCCAACCCAGCCTATATATCAGTCCCACTCTACCCGGAAGTTATTGAAACAAGCGATCGACCTCTAATTTTTTCTGGATAAGACAATTATATGAGCAGATACATCTTCAATAGGGGAGGGGGGGGGGGCAAAACGGACCAACGGGGCGAAACGGACCGGGGGGCAAGTTTGAGGGGAATCAGAAAGAAATCCAATGATGCAGACAATGTTCCATGCATTTATTGTGAAAAACGTTTTTATGACAGTGGTGGGGAGTGGATTCAGTGCCAGAGTTGCAACGGTTGGGCTCATTGTACCTGTGCTAACATTGATGAAAATGCAGGACCCACGTACTTTTTTTGTGACGAGTGCAAAGAATCAGACTAAAACTTTATTATTTATTACTAACCTCATATTTTATATTTGTTATTATTCATTATTGTTATTCATCATCATTGTTATTATTTATTTTTGTTATTAATCATCACTGTTATTATTTATT